CCATCTCTCTTCTTCTCCTTGGGCTTTCCTATTCCCTGAGACACGACAATATTGAAATCAGGCCAATTAATGACCGTACAATGGCCTCTAAATGTTCAAGTGAAAGGAAGAGTCACACATCTCTCACTTTAAGTAAAAAACTAGGAATGATTAAGCTTAGTGAGGAAGGAACGTTGAAAGTTGAGATAGGCTGAAAACTAGGCCTCTCTGCCAAAAAGTTAGCCAAGCTGTGAATGCAGAGGGAAAGTTCTTGAAGGAAATTGAAAGTGCTACTCCAGTGAGCACAAGAATAAGAAAATGAAACAGCCTTATTGCTGATATGGAGGGAGCTTGATTGGTCTGGATACATCAAACCAGCTACCACATGCTCTTAAGCCCAAGCCTAATCCAGAGGAAGAGCCAAGCTCTCTCTAATTCTGTGAAGGCTGAGAGAGGTGAGGAAGCCACAGAAGAAAAGTTTTAAGCTAGCAGAGGTTGGTTCATGAGGTTTAAGGGAAGAAGCCGTCTCCAAAAAATAAAAGTGCAAGGTGAGGCAGCAAGTGCTGATGTAGAAGCTGCAGCAAGTTATGAATGCAGAAGATTTAGCTAAGATAAATGATAAAGGTGGCTACACTAAACAACAGATTTTTCAATGTAGAGCAAACAGCTTACTCTTGGAAGAAGATGCCATCTAGGGCTTTCAGACCTAGAGAGAAGTCAGTGCCTGGCTTCAAAGCTTCAAAGGACAGGCTAACTCTCTTGTTAGGGGCTAATGTGGCTGGCAACTTAAAGTTGAATCCAATACTCATTGGCCATTTAAAAATCCTAGGGCCCTCAAGAATCATACTAAATCTACTCTGCCTGTGCTCTATAAATGGACCACCAAAGCTTGCATGACAGCACATTGTTTACAGCATGGTTTACCGAATATTTTAAGCCCACTGTTGAGACCTACTGCTCAGAAAAAAAGATTCTTTTCAAAATATTACTGCTCATTGACAATGCACCCAGTTACCCAAGAGCTCTGATGGAGACACGTACAGGAGATTAATATTGTTTTCATGCCTGATAACACAACATCCCTTCCGCAGCTCATAGATCAAGGAGTAATTTTGACTTTCAAGTCTTATTATTTAAGAAATACATTTTGTGAGGAAATAGCTGCCATAGACAGTGAGTCCTCTGATGGATCTGGGCAAAGTAAATTCAAAATCTTCTGAAAAGGATTCACTGTTCCACATGCCATTAAGAATGGCCGTGATTCATGGGAAGAGGTCAAAATATCAACATTAACAGGAGTCTGGAAGAAGGTGATTCCAACCTTTGTGTGTGACTTTGAGGGGTTCAAGACTTCAGTGGAGGAAGTAACTGCCGACGTGGTGGGAACAGCATGAGAGCTAGAATTAGAAGTGGAGCCTGAAGATGTGACCGAATTTCTTCAGTCATTCATGATAAAACTTGAACAGATGAGAACTTACTTCTTAAGGATAAACAAAGAAAGTGGTTTCGTGAGATAAAATCTATTCCTGGTGAAGATGCTATGAGCATTGCTGAGGTGACAACAAAGGATTCAGAATGTCACATGAACTTAGACGATAAAGCAGTGGCAGGGTTTGAGAAGATTGACTCCAATTTTGAAAGAAGTTCTACTGTCAGTAAAATGCTACCAAATGGCATCACAGGCTACAGAGAAATATTTTGTGAAAGAGTGAGTCAATTGATGTGGCAGACTTCATTGTTGTCCTTATTTTAAGAAATTTCCCCAGCCACCTTGGCCTCCACCCTGATCAGTGAGCAGCCACGGTGTGGAAGGAAGAGCCTCCACCAGCTAAAAGACGACTCGCTGAGGACTCAGATCATTGTTGGAATTTTTTAGCAATAAATTATCTTATAATTAAGGTATGTAAATAGTTTTTCAGACATAATGCTATTGTATGTTAAGACACTACAGTATGATGTTAAACACAACTGATTTCCCACTGATTTTTGGGAAATCAAAAAATTTGTGTGACTCGCTTTTATTGTGATACCTGCTTTACTGTGGTGGTCTGGAATTCAGCTTGAATACCTCTGAGCTATTCCTGTACGCAGTTGTACACAATTATACAATTTCCCTTTTCTTAAATACTTTCTACTTTTCCAGGAAGAGAAGTCCAGACAAGAAAGATGGATAGGGCATTTTATCTAAGACCTGTAACCAAGGAAGCCATTTGGTGCCCAAGGCTGATTTTCCCCAAGAAGCCATGGATCTGTTGCTTTAATAATTGTGACTAGGAAGGCCCCAACATGACAGTACCACCTTCTTCCTGATAGGTTTTAAAGCACATCCTTCAAAGACTGCAGTGAAGGTGCTCTGAAGTTCCATGCTGGCGCTAGAGCAGCGACTGTGCCCAGGCTTTGATTTCAAGAGAATGCAGGGCGGCTTTCTCCTAGGCCTGCGTGTGAGAACGCCCATGCAGCTGACGTTCCCCCAGAAAGTTATTTAGCTGTTGCCATGATTTTTCTTCATCTTGAAATCAATAGTTTATCCATTCTCTAACAAAGGGTGACATTTACGTAGTAATGCTGGAATATTGTTGAGGAGGAATTTCAATTGACAAGGTTATATGTAATGTTCCATTTTCCTTTCTTTCTCACTCCAGCTGGTTGACTCACAAATCTCTAATCAGGCACCACCTGTTGCTATGAATAAACACTTTCTAGAAGGTCTGAAAGGCCAGACTGGTAAATGCGCCATTTTCCTGTTGTGCCTCCTTGGGCAAAGCCTCAACTTCCACCTCTGTACAAAGGAAATACTATTTTCACTGTAGAGTGGGTGGGAGTATAAAAGTGAGGAACTAGATGGGACAGTCCCTAGCTCAGAGCTTGGTACATATTTGGTTTGTAATAAGTTTACTTTCTGTTTCCTGTCTTCCTTTCCTGACTTTAAGGGGCTGACGAACCTCATAGTCTCATTCATCCTGTGTCCGGAGTGAGCCGGCGTGCTCTGTGGATGAAGTATGAAGATGGACTTTGCCAGAGTGCCTTCTGGAAATCACACGTGGGCCCCCCAATGCATGCAGCATCCGCACTGAGAGGGTTTCTCTCCGTGGCGTGTCCTGGCTCATACATACCTTGTGGAGGGGGGCGTGGCTGGGGCTGTCCTAGCTGAGGTCCCAGCTGCGCTTGCCCTGGGGACTTTGCTGATTTCGTCTGCGGAGCCTAGAGCAGGAGAAGAGAAGAGAAGAGAAGCCTGTTGATCTCACCACAGCCATTGACTTCCTGGGCGGGAGGGCAGTATTTACAGAGATCTTATTCCTGAGATAAGACTAACATAAAGTGTAGAGTTCCGGGGTGTCCAGCGTAATGAAGTTCTGCACGTGTATACATGGGTGCAACCCCGGCCCAGATCAAGACATAGAACATTCCCCTGGAGAAGGCTGTCCCACGTGCCCCCTCAGGCAGCAACCCCCTCATGTATAACCGTTATTCTGCTGTCTATTGTCATAGATTCGTTTTTGTGGAAAAAGTGGGGGTTTTGAGACTTGCTTTTCCAGAAAGCTGGGCAGCTGGCAAATTGTTTGGAGAATAATCTGGTGGTCCACGGTGGGGGCTGTGGAGGGGAGGAGCTACGGGAAGCTTGACGAGGTGGGGGGGAGGGAGGAACGACAGACACAATGGTCTCTATTGACTGCTGTCCTGGGAGCACACAGAGGGCACGTGTACGTGTGTACGTGTGCTCTTGCAAGCGTGCGCACACACACATCCTGTTCAGGCACAGGATGGGGGGCACGGAGGGGAAGGCTGTCAATAATCTCTGCCCACAGACGCCCAAAGGCCAATTGGGACGAGATTGTTCTCCCCAGGGCGGTGGAGGGAGGAAGGGCCCCTGGAAGCCTCCCGCATTCTGCCGTAGGGGCCGGCTGCAGATGCTCTCCCCGTGCCTGGGCTCTGCCCACACCCCAGGTGGTTCCTTCCTGGGGTGTCTCCTTTGGGTCCAGGGTCTGCCCATCCCCAGACAGCCGGTGTTCCTTGCGATTACAAAGTCTCCTTTGCTCCCGAGGCCCTTACCCAAGGTCTCAGGGGAGAGGGCACTGTGCCTCCTGGCACCAGGAGTTGGCTCATTTTGGAGACTACAAGGTCGGCCATCAGCTGTTTGTCCTCTTCCACGTGCTCTCCGATCAGGGGCATCGAGCTGTCCATGACCTGAGGGAACAAAGGAGTCTGAGGGACCCCCAGGCCGGGAGAGCCTGGCGGTTGGGCAGCGCATCCAGGAGTGCCGGCTCGGGGCTCAGGACAGAGGTGGCCGCCAGATGGCGACGTCCTCCATGCAAACCTCGCGGCCGGCTCCTCCCGCTGGGACTGGGCCCCGCCGAGACCTCCAGCTCCCTGGTGCGGTTCGTCCAGCCTACGGCAGCCCCGGAGCCTCTGCTGACCTTCTCTGCACTTTGCTTTGGGGAGCCGCTCTCCGCCCCCTCCTTTCCCACCCTGGCCCCCTCCCGGGCTTGGGGCTGGCCTCCTCTGCCTTGGCCGAGGTCACGGCTCTCCACAAAGCCGGAAACAGTGAAGGTGGGGGCTCGATCAGGACAAAAAAATGACACAGGCTGGAGCTGACCCAGGGTTCAGAGGGAAGAAGGAAGAGGAAAGGCCTGTTCTCCGGGGCCCTGGCAGAACATATGCTGAGGGCAAAACCCGTTCCCCAGAGAGCTGGGCTGTCTCAGAGGAAGAGAGTGCTTATACAGGGAGGTGGCCTGAGGGATAGTAGCTGCCGGTTCTGCTCTTTGTACAGATGGGGCAACTGAGGCCCAGAAATGGGAAGGGACTTGCCCAAGATCACACAGGCCAACGATGCACGGGATTGCCCGGCCACAGGCAGCTATGGGAGGTCTTAAAGGGGTTCCTGTCAGGCCTTGGCAGATAAGCGAAATGGCTGGGTTTGTCACCTGCTCTCTCCTCCTCCACTGTAGGAATCCAGCTGCCCGTCCTCACCTGCACCACCCCAGTCACTCGCTGTCTTGTCTCCTATTTTCCTGAGCTCTGGACTCACCAGGGTCTCGCTCCCCTCCAGGTCCTTATGCATGTCCTTCCCTCTGCCCACTCTTTACCTGGCTAACTCCTTCTCATCCAACAGGGACACCTAGCTAGCCCTTCCTCCAGGAAGCCCTCTCTGACTGCACGAGCTCTGGCGAGCCACCTCGCACCTGTACTCCTGCTGTCCTCACTCTGGCTGTCCCACTGGACAGCTCATCCCACAGAGCTGTCATCTTCTGTTTACTGTGTCTCTACAACTGGACAGTGAGCCCCCAAGGTCAGGGAGGGGCCCTGTGTCCTGTTAAACAGGAACACCCTCAATAAATACCTGCCGAGTGGAGAAATGAGAGGTCCTTGCAATAAGCTCTGCTCATAATAAGGACACTAACCTGTGCTATATTTTATTGAGCACTTACTATGTGCTAAGCACTGTTCTAAGCACTGGGTGCAGATGATCTTGCATAAATCTTGGAATGGCTCTTTGAGGTAGGGACTATTATTATCCTCATTTGAGGGTCAAAGAAGTGGCAAGTGGCAAGTTCAAGGATACATCACTAGCAACTCACGATGCTTGCATCTCACCAGGTTAATTCTCACCAAGCGCTGGAACAGCTCCCTGTGGTAAGAGCCGGAAAGAGGAGAGCTGGGTTCCAGGCCCAGGTTCTGCCACGGACTTGCTGTGTGATCTTGGGCGAGTCTCTTTTCCTCCACAGGCTTACTGTTTTCTCAACTGTGATCTGAGGGGTTTGGGCAGCTGCTAAGACCCCGCCAGCTGGGCCTTTTAGGGGTCTGCGCTCTAAAGCACCCACTGTGGTTGGGAGGCTGAAAAGCAAACTCAAGGGTGAGAATACAGATTCCAACAGGGGCCTGAAGACTCTCCTTGGATTGAGCTCCTCGTGGGCTGCACCTGGGCTGGGACATCCAGGGACCCCGGCGCCCAGCACACGGACGGTCTCTCGGTGGACATTGGCTGAGCGTTATGGCTGTGGGCTGTCTCGAATGGACACGGGCTTCCTACGCCCTGTCTGTCCTCCCTACCCCTGCCCCTGACACCCCTCTCTTTTCTGGTTTCTGTTTCCTACGTTCCCCGCAGTGGAAAACGGCCACCACAGGGAACCTGAGGTCAGGGAATTTTGGAATCCCAGGGTAGACACAGCCAAAGGAAGTGGACACTCTGGTCTCCCCAGGGACACATTTTTCCAGTGAGCAATGTCATTCCCGGGACAGGTTAGAGGGGACAAGTTCAAGGGTCTTTCCCCTGAGTATTTCACTGTAAGGATCTCCACAAAACATTTCACACAAACTTTCTGTTCTCACCACAGACGTGGCTGAAGAAGCCAGTATTTTTAGATCTCTTCTCCTTTTTTTTTTTCCTTACTGGGGGAAAATACCTTTTATATTCCCGGTAACAAGCTCTGCATCTTCCCCGACCCCACCCCAAACCCCAGAGCAAGGGAAATAACTCTGCAGTGTTTCTGTGAGGAAAAACAAATCTGAAAAGCCATCTTTCTTTCTTTCTTTCTGGAACATTTTTCAGATGTTGTTTTCTTGTGTTTTGAAGTCCAAGCCCACTACTTTTACTTATTTTTTTTTTTGTAATGTGAAAGGTCTTTCATCCCTGACTCTCTGAATGTCTGGAGGCAGGAAGCCCGGGCCCACGGACGCAGAATTTTTTTCTTCCTATGCGTGAAAGTTGAATTGAGAGAGGCAGGAGCTCACGGGGCAGAGGTAACGCTAATGCGAGGCCAGGGGTCCTTCATTTGTTGACCACCTGCCACCTCTCTGGAGCGGAAGCTCTAGGAGGCAGGGTCCCTGCTGCGCTGCGTTCACCCGGCTTGGGGGCTGGCATCCCCGAGTAGTGGCTCAGTGGGTACACGGATGAGTGCTCATGTGCCAAAGCTGGGTTTGCGTCTGGGGGTCCCGCCAGGAGATGCGGAGGCAGGAGGGCCAGGTGGGGTCTCAGGAGTGCAGTGCCCCAGCAGGAGGGCCCCTGCCCCAGCCCTGGGCTGAAGCTCCCAGGATGTCCCCAGAAAGGTGGGGCACTGGCTCCCCCAGGCAGCGACTGTTCCCGGCCCCTTGGATGCTTCCTCCGAGGGGGCTACTGGGGGAATCTCAGGTGGCGCGGCCACAGGGGAAGCGATTCCCGGACCTGAGAGAAGAGCTGTTTGCCATGTAGGACTGATCCGCGGACACAGACGCTGCTCATCCCGTGGGAGCTCCCGGCTTTTCTGGGGAGGGTAGAGACACGGTCCGTCCTGGACTGCCTCACCCCACCTCCAGGGAGCCACCCTGCGCAGGGGTGTGAGTGCCCTCCTGGCACGGCCGGGCTCCCTCTCGTTGAGTCACCTGGTCCTGCTCGGCTGTGGGTCCCTGGGGAGTGGGGCAGACACGAGGGCCTGGAGGACAGGCTGGCTCCTGTAGTCACCCTGGCCATGTGCTTCCCATTAGCCGCCCACACCCTGGGGAGGCGGCAGCCGCAGGGCTCCCCCTCACGTGTCTTGGCCTTGCGTCAGCGCTGTCCCTCCACTGCGGCTGGGAAGGCCATGGGGGAGAGAGCTGAGCGGCCACCGGGGGTTGTGTGTGGGGCTGTCAAGGTGGGCAGAGGACGGAGGCCTCTGAGGCCAGAGGGCTGTTTTCAGGGAAAGCAGTGGAAGGCCATGGTGGGGGCAGGGAGGGGAGGTGAAGAGGGACCACAGGGGACACAGGGGAGTCACAGAGGTGAAAGGAGGGCCTGGGAGAGGCATGGCCTGTAGGAAGGTCTTGAGAGAGATTTGGGGACACAAAGCTCCTCTGCCACCGTCTCCCTTACAGTTATGTTAATATTTCCCCCACCCTTCCCCCTGGCCACACCCTGCACACCTGTGTCCCCTTCCCACCCCTCAGCACCCTGCCTTTGTTCATCACCCTTCTTCCCACCAGCCTGCAAACCCCATGTCTGTCCTGTCCAGGCTGCACCCCCCAGAGCCACACCCATGCCTGCCCATGGAGCCCCTAAGTTCATGTTTGTTGAGTGAACAAGTGATGGAGTCTCTGCACGGTGACCAGGGAGATGTGCCCACTTTACATACCTGGATGTTGAGGAAATGGAAGAGGGACAGAATCCTGCTCACCCCTGGCCAGAGGCTCTTCCCCTACCCATAGGCCTGCAGGTTGGGGAAAGTTGTTAAACCCCATGCCCTGAGCTCTCTCCACTGGGCAGGAAGACTTTCAAGACAGCCTGGGGTGAGGATGAGGAGGCTGTGGGGAGGAGCCTCCAGAAGCTGCCCACTGAGGCCTGGGCTGTGTGTGCCCAGGCCAGGAGCCAGGACATAGCTCACCACGCTGGGGCCCGTGTATGCATTCCCTCCCTGCCACACGCCTGCCGGCCGTGCCAGGCCAGAGGACCTGCTGGTGCAACCCTCACCTCAATGATGTAATCTCTGCCATCCTTGCTGTGGACGGCCTTGACGGCACAGATGTCCAGGCCGCCGAACATTTCCGAGCAGCTGTCTACCCACAGCCTGTACCTGCAGGGACAGACAGACAGACAGTGAGCAGTGAGTGCAGGCAGAGGGAGCCGGGAAGGGGGCGCAGAAGGATAGAGGGGGAGACACACACAGAAAAACAGGCAGAGAGAGACAGCGACACACATACACCCAGAGATGGAGAGAGAGAGACAGAGACACGGCAAGAGAGACGGAGGGAGACAGAGAGGCCGTGGGAGAGAGGGAGGCAGGGACATAGATGGCCGGTGGCAGAGAGGCCCAGAGAAAGAAGGTGAGAGAGCTGGACAGAGGAGAGAGGAAGGAGGAGGGAGAGAAGGAATGGGATCCCCCACCCCCAGGAACCTGCTGGCCCCACAGCTGTGGGGAGCTTGTCCTGCCCGTCGGAGCCATCCCGGGCACCCAGCGCCCTGCGGCCCTTTCCCTTGGGAAAGCTGCTCGCAGAGCTCCAGAAATCCCTCCCAGGCTGTCCCCCAGTCCCGGAGCCCCACCAGACCAGAGCTGGTTGGGGACAAAGGGCGCATTCTGCCCAAGCCCTGGGCGGCAGGCAGGGGAGCCAGGCAGGCTGCTCCCGCCTGGCCCCAGGGCCTGGCCCTCTGGACCTGCTGCTTTTGTTCCCTTTCCAGCCACTCGAGGGCTGCAAGGCCAGTTTGCTTTGCTGGGGACAGATCTCAAGGCTGGACTTTGACCCCGCAACAAGGGGGTGGTTGTATCTGGAGAAATCTTCCCTGCTTGCACTTGGCTTCTCTTGAGGGCTGGATTTGGGAGTCACAGGGGACTTTGTGTCAATGTTCCTGCTTCTTCCCCCACTCTCCAGGCTCAAACAGGGCACTCCTGCTCTCAGATCTCTTTGTGTCTCTGAGCCATAAGGCCTGGGATGAGGAGAGATCATGGCTGAAGTGCTCTTAGAACTCTCTCGTCTTATCCACCAATGCCCACTGAGGCCCAGAGAGGGAGAGCGGCTTGCCCACGTCACACAGCAAGGCAGTCATAGAGCCAGAATTACCCAGATCTCCTAGCTCCTAGTCCAGTGGTCTCATCCAGCTGTAGCGAGGAGCACGTGAGATCACAGAAGTAAAAGGAAGGACGAAACTCACACCCATTGAGCACCTACTATGTGCCGGGGGATTGGCTCTTCATTCTTTCTGATTCCACCACAACTCTTATCAGGGAAGTTTTAACCCATTTCACTGATGAAGAAACAGAGGCTCAGTGAGATTAGTAAATGACTGTGCGGCTTCTAAACCCAGATCCTATCCGATTCCAGAATCCGAACAGAACCGCCTTCCTCTCATTCTGAATGCAACCTGTCTGTCTCTTCTTTCTCAGCATGGGAGACCAGGACCTGAATCTTGCTGTTAATTCCTCAATAATTTAGGGGAGCCTCTCCCTCTTGCAGACTCAGTTTCCCTATCTGTAAAATGGGAAGGCCTAGATCTGATTCTGGTTGTACATCAGAATGACCAGGAGGGTTGAACAAACACACAAATGAATAGCCAGATTTGGGGGCTCCGCTCCGTGTTAGAATAATTTCTGTAATTTTTTTTAAAGCATCCCATGTGATTCTGATGTGTAGCCACATTTGGGGACAACCTTTGGTCCTTGGAGCTGTAAGAGTCCTCTGGACTCTCTGATACTTCAGGGTCCCCGTATTTAGCACCAAGGGCTGATTTGTGGGGCACCATGCGCTCAGGGAGAGCTGTGCCCTGAGACACACTCATAAATCAGGTTTCTTCTCAATGGAAGGTGGAAGTCTGGGCCCAGGCCCAGAAGCAATGGGTTTCCAGAGGCTATTTTTAAATGATGAACTTTGGCGTCACCTGCTGGCTGTACCCTACGGGGCACAGGCACCCCAAGGTCCAGGAACTGGCCACAATGTGGGAAAGGCTGGAGGATGTGGGGTCCTGCTCCCTGCAGCCAGGTGGGACTAGCACAAACCAAGCCACATCACTGGTTCTGCCCAGGAGTCAGGCTACCTGGCAGGCAGGTGAGCCAGGTGGAGGGAGGGGTCTGTTCATGGGTCCCCATATGGACTTTGCCGCTGTGGGGATGGGACTGAGGAGCTCTGTCCAGGCCCTGGAGTCCGGGCCATAGCTGCAAAAAGGAAAGTGAATTCCAGGCCTGAGCAGACTCACTCCCTGGTAGGTTCCAGGGGATGGCCCACGTGGCTTGGGACTGAGCAGAGCCAGGGAGACAGTGGTGCTGGGGACATCCGTGAGCAGCTCACGTTTGGGAAAGGCCATGGAGAAGAGGGCCATGACTGTCCCACGAATGCCCCCGGGGGAAGGGTGTGGCCAACTCAGGCCCTGTGATTCCGTACCAGGTAGAGAGCACCACTTCCATGACACTGGGTAGCACAGGTGGGTTCCCAGATTGACAGTAGCAGCTGCCCCCGGAGTTGACGGGAAGGGAAGGTGCTTCTCCCTGCCTTGGGCTGGGGCTGGAGAAGCTATTGCACCTCCGTCTCTCATTCAGTCCCCACAACTGCACTCTGACTTAGGTGACATTGCCTTCATCATGCATGAAGAAGTTCCGATCTGCTAATTAACGTACCAAGGTCACTCAGTGTGTGTTGCTGCAGGGGATGGTCCCACTCCAGTCTGCAGGGGTGGAGACCTGACACAGGCCTAGCCAGTCACAGCATTGCAGCTTCCTGGGCCATAGTGATTGGTTCGGAATGGTCATGTGACCTACCCCAGGCCAATCAGTAAGTACGGCTCAATTCCAGGCTTTGGTTGAAACGGTTGGGAAAGAGACATTTTCTTTCTGTTGGTGCTGTGAGAATGGAAGCCCGGAGCCTCTATGGGCCACCATTTGAGACAGCCTCCTCTAATGACACCAACATAGGAAAAAGCTGAACCAGGGTGGGTAGAGAACGAGTCCTAAAGCCTTATCTGCCCCTGTACCTCTGGAGTTTTCAGTCACACGAGCCAGTAAATCCACCTTTTTGCACAAACCAGTTTGATGTGTGTTGTGACACTTGCAGCTGATACGGAGTTCTTAGAGAAAAAAAGGGAATCTTTTCATCCTTTACTGCTCAGTGCAACATGGCATGCAGTAGATACTCAATGAATGTTTACTGAACAGAGCTTTCTGGCTCCAAAGCCCATGCTCTGTCCACTGTTATTGCATGCATGCAGGTAGAGGTCACTGGGCACGCAGGCAAGAAGGCATGTGTGTGGCTGGCCCTGAGACCAGGTGACTCAGCCTTTTTTCCGAGGTCAGATGGGATCGGGCGTGTTCAGGGCGGCATGGCCGTAGACGACTCAGCCTTTTTTCAAAGGAGGCTGGCACACAGCAGTGGCTAAAGGGAGAAAGACCCCAGGGACCTGCAACCAGAGTGTACCCCCGAAACATTCATGATTCATGGGAAGTCGGCCTCTCCCTATTCGTACTGAGACGGAAGTAAGTCTGAGAGGAGTGGACCCTCCATCACCTCTGCTTCTGTAATCAGGATGCTTCCTAGCAGCCGTCGGAGCACAGAGACTGGCGAGGGCTCCCTGCTCTTTTCCTGAAGCAGCCGGGCAGGGCCGGAAAGACCGATACCCCCAGCTCTGTCATTAATCAATCTGTGCCCCTAGACAAATCAATTCCCCTCTCTTTCTTCTCCCATCTGTAAAATGGGATTATTTTAATACCTACCCTGTGGATTATTGGGGGCTGTAAGGGTAATCATGCCTAGAAAAGTGTTCTGTGGGTGGTGAGGCATTGGACACAGGATGAGGTGGCCTTCTTTGCAGGGCTCCTTGTTGCTTTCCTCCCTCAGTTCCCACCACGGCGAGTGCCCTCCCTACACCTCCTTTGTCTCTTACCTCTCTGTCATGGCCACCTGCTCCAGCATGGCAGATCCTGTGTTGGCCTTCCAGTTGCCAGAGATGGAGGTTCTCCTGTATCAGCACAAATAACACAGTGAGGGCATTAAAGGCTTCTGTCACTGATCTGCTTTCCTTCTTTGCTTTGGCTGTTAGGAGGCTCTGATTCAAACATCTGTCTCACTTTACGGCATGTATTCTTAGGTACACACATTGACCTCAGCTATACTTTCCTGTTTATTTCCCTTCATGCCAATTGCCTTATTTATTTGTTGGATCTTACGTATTGTTTTCTAAGCCATCTTTGAAATTTAAAGATTAAATTTAAAAAAACGCCTATATTATTAGATGAAATCCCCCAAACCTTGGCCTCCTGTTTTTGAGAACTAGGGCAGCATAGCCCTCAGTGGTTCTGGAATTTTTAAGGCCCCCAAATGTAGGAAAAACGATCCTTAGAGAGAGGTGGTTACTTTTCCATGGTGAAGATCAAGAAGGCCTTCCGGTATCTTCCTGCCCCACCACCCTTCTCTGTTCCAGCAACAGCAGACCTCCCTTCCAGAGCTCCGCTGCCCATGGCTCTTTCCCTGCCGTGGCCTCCACGTGCGTCCTTCCCTTTGCCCCATACTGCCTTTTTCTCCACCGTTGCCTCCCTAAGTCCTACTCTTCCTTTAGGTTTCACCTGCAGGATGACTCCGACAGCCCACCTTCCCCAACAAGAGTAGACGCCCTGCACTACCTGACAATAGAGTTCAGTGGTGTAGCGCTCCTCTCACGTGTAAGGACTTCCTCAGTGTCCTCCCTTCCCCGATGACGGGAAACTCAGGGTAGGGCCACGTCTGACTTCATCCCCTGTACGCCCAGTGTCCAGTGGGACCTGGCGTGTAATGGGTGCCCAGTATCTACCTCCTGGGTGGGGACTGTGTATGTCGGGGCAAAGTCCAGACAAACTATCCCCAGTGGCACATCTGGACTCAGCAAAGACCGAGTGAGTTTAAACAAAGTGGTGGAGACAAAGCTATTTGTCTTAAGGTCAAGGGTAGGTATGCGGTTGCGGTCAAAGGGTGAACTGGGGAGAGAAATTGACACAAAAATACGTCCCTCTAAAGGAGAAAAATCCAATGTCTAAATGCTGAGAAAAGATGGTGGCCATTCAGAGCCATGGTGACTAAGGGGTGCGGCACCACCGATAAGCTCTACGTCCATTCAGTCTAGTTCCGTTCAGCTCGACTCAATTCAACTCGGCAAATCCTCACAGGGCCGCCCTAGATCCTGAGTACTGGACCAGTCCGAGCGTGCAGGGATGACCCCCTGCTTAGGCTGCTCACCACCCAGAAGGGCGGACTAGCCGAAAACCAGGCCGCAGGCATGGTAGCGTTAGCAGCAGACACGAGGAGTGACGAGCTCTGGGAAGCGAAGGAGAAACCGGAGTCATGTAATGTGACCCCAGAAGGAAGCCACCGAGATGCGCCTGGGAGGACAGTCGGATTTGGCACAGTGGGTTCTGCATTATGGTAAGAGAAGGTAAGAACTGACTTGAGTCGGACAGATGTGAGTTTGAACCTTGGTTCCAGCATTTTCTAGCTATATACCCACGGGGAACATCTCTGAGTCTTTATTTCCTCATTGGCAGATGGGAACAGTCATAGTACCATCCCTACAGGGTATTGTGTGGATTAAGGGAAATATGCCCATAAATCTCTGAGCACAATCGGTGCTGCTACTATTTGCAGTAAGAGGAGGCAAGGAAAGAAAGTGTTCCAAGGGCAGAAGCAGCAGGAACACAAACCGGATTGCTTTCCTTCCAAGAGAATCGTGATAGCGAGAGCTGATATTTAACGAGTGCTGCCTATGTCCGAGACATGGGTCTGAGGGCTTTATAAGTGTTAGCCGATTTTAGCCTCATAAAACCTAATGAGACAGGCTTTATTGTTATTATTATAATTCCCACTTAGTGGCAGGAGCCACCCAACCATGTCTTACAAACTCCACGCTCTTAAACATGACTGCCCACAGCAGGGCCCATCGAGCCGGTCACAGGCACGGGGAAAGGGGTCGGTCATTCCATGTATAATGAAGCCACTGGACTGTTGGATGGAATGTAGACTGTGACAAAAGTATCTACCTATATTACGTTATCTTTGTTTGGGCTGCTATAACAAAATACCATAGACTAGGGGGCTTAAACACAACAGAAATTTATTTCCCACAGTTCTGGGGGCCGGGAAGTCCAAGATCAAGGTTCTGGCAGATTTGGTGTCTGTTGAGAGCCTACTTTCTGGGTCACAGACGGTGCCTTCTTGCTATGTCCTCGCATGGTGGAAGGGACAAGGGAGCTCTCTGGGGCCTCATTTATAAGGACACTAATCCCATTGATGAGGACGCCGCCCTCATGATCTAATCCCCTCCCAAAGGCTCTACCTCTTAATACCATCATCTTGAGGGTTAGGATTTTAACATATGCATTTCTGGGGACACAAACATTCAGACCACAGCGCAAGTGTAGGACATAACCTCATGGAAGGGGATGGGGGAAAGGTGCTGAGCTAAGTAACTCTGGACGTAAGTGGAGACTGTATGGCTAAACACAAAGGAATGGTGCAGAAGCCCTGTGCTGTAGTTGGGGAAGTTGTTTCCCAGGGCCACGGGTTAACAGTTCCGAGACTGTGCACACATACTGAGATGGAACAGGGCAGTAAATGGATGGCGGGTGGGGGAGCCAGATTTTCCTCTGTTGGAGCGGGAGGTTATAGATTAGCAACCAGGGAAGGCTGGAATGAACACGTGGTACTGAGGCATCAATATGAATCTGTTTAGCTTCATATAGAAATGGATGGATGTATAGAGAAATAATTATGGATATGTGTGTACACATGGGTAAGGACATGCACATATATTTCCTTGATGTGTCTACCAGGACCTAGTAAGAATGACACCCCAGTAGCAGCAACCACAAAGTCCTGAGTGCAGGGCAGGGAGGAGGTTGAATGGTCGGGGACATTCTACAGTGAGGTCAGACGCAAAACCCCTCCCCTGGATGTGGGCCAACCCCGGGTCCAGGAAACTCCATAACTAATGACAAACCGGAGCTGTCAGGCCAGAGAGCTTAGCATAAAGAATGCGGCAATGAGGTAATCCTCAAGAAAAGAAACTGGGACAAGGTGTTGTCAATGTCAAGTGGAACTTGAACGATGAAGGGAGGAGGGAAATGGTATCATGATGGACGGTGGGGGTCTCAGGAAAGGAATGCACTGGAACGGGCAGGGAGGAGGCGATCTTATCACCACGGGGGCGTCTGAGAGGAGTGACAGGTCCCGCGGGCTCCTGGGAGGAAGAGGGTGATTGGTAAGACGAGCAGAGCTGTTCCTTGAGGACTGGATCCATCCCTTTCCTGGGAATATTTCCTTCTAGGTCAACTGCCCGCATGTCCTGCAGCTTCTCAGGCAACCGCAGAGTACAGTAGTCGCAACGGAGACTGTACGGCCTGTCAAGCCTAAAATTACCATCTGGTCCTTACAGGAAACGTTTGCTGACCCCTGCCTGAGGCAACGTGGGTAGTGCAAAGGGACCCAGAGGCCATACACACAGGGATGTGCATGGCTGTGATCGACAAACCTTTATTTGCAGAAACGGGTGGCAGCTGGGTTTGGCCTGCAGTTTGCCAGTCCTGTCCTAGAACACAAAAGCCCACACAGAGAGACCTTCCCACTGTCCGGGGGTGACCACTGCTGTCCTCACACGGGGAGCCATGCGCACAGTCAGTGCTCCGTAAATTCCTGGCAACCAGGCAACCGGCGGCCCTCTGGGGTCTCATCATTTCAAGCGGAACCAACAAAAACATTCCAAAGGGAGAGACAGAGAGGCCTTGGAGCAGATAAGACCCCTCCAAACAGCAAGACCTTCCACCTCTTCCAGAACTCCCACTCGTCCTTATAACCCAGCCCCGGTGTAATCCGTCCTGTGCTGAACCACCTCTAGGGCAGGGCGAAGGTGGGCCTTTTTCCCCCTCCCTCCATCGCATTCATTCTTTTCCTTGAGACTCAGCGCCTCTGTTTCCACCGAGGAGTGAGCCTGTCCACTTGCATGGCTTCCTAGTGGGACTCTCCACACTGGTTTTCTGCCCTTCTCGAACCAATAAGCATGTGGCCAAAGTTGGACTAATCAGCACCGTTTCCTGGAGTCACAGTTGCGAGTTAAGCGCTGAAAATGATGAGGGCAGATCCTTTCACCAGTGAGAGTGCCATGAAGATTGTTTATTGTTATTTTTGGCTACTCAGATTCCTGGGGCTGCCCTGGACCCTAATATTTTTGAAATTGATAATTTAGTCCGGGAGGGGGGTGGAGGAGGTGGTGGATTGTTTTTTTTTTAAAGCTTCTGATCAACCATAGTTTTCTGATAAATTCCCTTAAAAAAAAAAACGTTAAATGAATCAGATATACTTTCTGTTGCTTGCAGCCAGAGAAATCTGATGTAGCCTCCTAACTGGTCTCATTGGCTCCAGAGAAATCCCTTGGCAGCCTACAGCCCCAGAGTCATCTTTATAAACACAGAGCAGATGACGCCACTTCTCTGCTCAAAAGAGAGCAGAAGAAAATCCAAATCCTCTCAGCAAGGCATTCAAAGCCCTCCTTGCTTTGTCCCCAGATTCCTCTTTTGGTCTTGACTCCTAAGACAACTGTGCATACTTGCAGTTTCCCCAAACCTGCCAAGCGCCTTTCTTTCTCTGGGGGAAACAGCCTCTGTTTGGGTAGACAGGTATCTAACCTGGGGTAAGCCGTGACAGAACATCCGAGAAGGGCAGTAAGGAGACAGAAAGGGAGAGTAATGATGCGCCGAGGGAGGTCACTGCCCTTGGGCGGAGGAGAGAGCAGCTGGCCATGCATCTCTAATCTCCGACCCTCCCGCCCCTGCCCCAGGGACTCACATGTAAGCCTTGTAGTTGGATCCGATTTTCTGGATGCGGATGTCGTACTTGGAGTCGATGAAGGCCTCGGTGGTGGCGTAGGTTTTGGCCATGGCCACCACGCTGGTGATGTCCTGGTAGTCGTGCTGGTTTTCCACTTTGATCTGTGTGGGAGGAAGAGGGGGTGAGTGCTACCCACCCAGCTTCACAGCCTGCCCCGTGCCAGGACCGTGTGCTTCGAATACAGAGACGGATACCCTTGGGAGGGTCACCTGCTAGCTGCAGAGACAGACACAGGAAACAAACCACTCCCCTGCACACCCGCACAAGGCACGGAGGAGAAGGGGAGCGATTCCACTTGGGCAGTGGAGAAACGATTACAGACAAGACGAGCTCTGAACAGGGTCTGGAAGAGTGAATGGGGTCTGCAGATGGAGCGAGCAGCGGGCGGCTCTCGGGAGAGGAGGGCGGCTGCACAAATGCTGGGGCCTGAGGACCCGGGCGGTGGGGGCAGGGCAGGTGGTGCAGACTGGCCGAGGGGCCATGGGACAGGGCCATCACGAAATGGATCATGGACGGCCACAACAGCTCTGGGAAGGGGCTAGGATTTTAGCCTGAATGTTCTGGAAAGCCACTGGAAGAGGGAGAGGAGTTTAAATAAGAACGTGGCTTAATTCGTGTTTTAGAACAACCACTCAAGCAGTTGTGTAGAGGATTGAATGGAGGGGTGCGGTAGGGGATACGGAGAGGCCAGTTAGAACGGTTTATGTGTGTGTGTGTAGTGTGCATGTGTTGGGTGTGTGTGTGTGTGTGTGGTGTGTATTGTGTGGGTGTGTGGTATGTCAGTAGTTTGTGGTACATGTGTATGGTGTGTTTGTGTTTAATGTATATTGTGTATGTGGTATATTTTTCTGTGTTGTTGTGGTGTATGTGTGTGCGGTAGGTTTTTTGTGTGCTTATGTGGTATGCGTGTGTGGTGTACAGTGTGTGGTATGTATGTGTAGCATGTGGATATGTGTGGTATGTTAGCTGTGTGTGACGTGCTGCATGTTGCACATGTGGCGTGTAGCGTCTGGTGCCTGTGTGTGCACGTGTGGTGTGTAGCGTCTGGTGCCCGTGTGTGCACGCGGGGTGTGTAGCGTCTGGTGCCTGTGTGTGCACGCGTGGTGTGTAGCGTCTGGTGCCTGTGTGTGCACGTGGGGTGTGTGTGCGTGTGCAGGCGTGCACTGGAGAGCCCAGCTTTGCTAGGCCAAAGGCCTGGGGGAGAAAGTCACACTGTTTACTGAGCTGAGGCCAGGAACATGGGGTGGTGTCCTGGGCTTGGGGAGCGGTCACAGGAGAGCTTCCAAGACCAAGCGCAGGGACGAGGCCAGGGCTCCGGGACAGAGATTTCGAGATGGAGCAGAGGCTGACTCCAGCTGCCGTGGACGGCTGGGCCAGCTGCTCTCTCCCGCTGGCCGTGGGGGCCCCGCTTGCTCAGAAGTGGCTCCCCCTCCCCTGTCACCCTCGCCCAGACAGCAGAGGAGTTCTGATGCTGGCCCGGGAGGGAGGGCAGAGTCCAGATCCCCTTGGAGGGGCCGGCGCTGGGCGGTTCATGTGGGAGGGTGGGACGGGTGTGGTTGGTCCTCAGGGCCGCACCCTCCCGGTTCTCACGTCCTGTGACCTCCCTCTCAGCCCTCTCCCGTCTGTCCTTTACGTCTCAGCACTGACGACACTCTCCCTCCACGAGGATGCCCACACATTTGTACCCACGGCACCACTGACAAAGGGTCTCCAGTGTTCTCTGTGGGACCCAAAACAGGGCTGTGAGCAGTCAGGCTGGGCATCAGTGTGGTCTGTTAACGGATGTGGAACCTGAAACTTGTCCAAGGGCACAGAGCGGCTAAGCGCAGAGCTGGGGATGCAGCGCTGGGGCCCCAAGACACAGCTTTTCCGGGAACCCCTCAGGGTACCTGCAGGTGCATGCCTGTTGTTCTTCCTTAGCGGACACAAACAGCGACCCGGAGAGGGCCTTGGCAAGCCGCCCCTCTTCTCAGCTCTCCGCGAGCCCCAGCCTCTCAGTGAGGGCTCTGAGTTCCACCTTGCAGAGAAAATGACCCTGATCCTGTGAAGTTCCCTATTTCTCATCCCTTTGCAAACCCCCCCACCCCCGATTTCCACTTCTTCCTCCCAGCTGCAGTGGCCCGGTGTGCCTCCTCCCCTTGTTCTAGGTCTGTTAAGGCTCTGACTGCTGGCTGTCCCCACTTCTTTAGCAATAGGACCCCTAAATTCAGGGACACCTGCTCTCCTCAGCTAGAGATTCCTCCACTCCAGCCTCCTTTACAGGCAGATGTGACCAAGTCTCCAAGTTCTGGCTGATGCAAAGTGAGTAGATGTGATGTGAGCAACCTCTGTGGCGGGGGGAGGGTCCCCTGAAAATGAAGGGAATCTTTCCCTCTTCCTTCTTCCCTCTGGCTGGGATGTGGACACGATGGTGTGAGCAAGAGCAGCCACCTTGGGCCATGAAATAGGAGCTGCAGGTTGAGGATGCCTGGATCTGGAGAGATGGAGGGAACCTGGATCCTGAACACTGCAGGGCCCCCATCAGCCCTTGACTGTATGCTCAGACTCTTACATGAGAGAAAGAAACCTTAATCTTGCTTAAGCCACTGTTACCTGGGTCTTTGTCATTGCAGCCTAACTGTATTTCTGCTATGTATTTTTAGTCTCTTGCTTTTCATTGATCCTTTATCTTTAAGATTAACACGATCAAGGATCCACCATTCTTCTCAAAATGTTCCTGCTTTTCAGAAGCTCAGTCACTCACCACCCTCTGTGTCTACATCCTCACTTCCCACTTGCGCCTAAACCCACGCTCTTCAGGTTTCACTCCCCACTGTCCCATGGAAGCTGATTTGGCAGAGGTCCCCCTTGGCCTCCTCGCTGGGGAAACCCACAGAGTTCCTCGGGTTCCCATCTTGCCTCGGCACTCTGCAGCATCTGAAATTGGTAAGGGTTTTGAAATTTGGTTTCCGGACCACTACTCTATTTCAGCTCATTCCCTTTCTTTCTGGAAACTTCTTCATAGTCTATTGCCTCCTCTTCCTCCAATGCCCCTTTGATAGTCTTGGGGTTTCGCCCCCAGCCAACATTTGGGGTAAGGTAGAGGCGGTTGGAGTTACTAAAATGAAAGAATGGGGTGAGAGCTTGCAGGGACAGCTTGTCTGATTCGCAATGCTGTCCCTGGTGGCTTTGGAAAGAACCGGAAGTTCTGCTGCACTTTGGTTTCCTAGACAGCACAGGCCCTGGCATCATTCTCCTCTTTTTCTACAGCCATGACGGGCTCTGATATGGGGGGCGCATGACCACCCAGATTGAACTTTACACCCCGTCCCCTGGCATCTTTGGATGGCGGCGTGACCATGTTTTGGCCAACAGGATGTGAGCGGAAGAGGGTATGGACTTCCAGGCCACAGTGTTAGAGGGAAGGAGGGGGTTTCATGGGCAAGGACCCACCATTGGACCTCGGCGGGTGTGGACTCAGACCCACACCCACTTCCCCCCCCCCGCCCTCTTCCCACTGGCTGGAACGTGGCCAAGCACAACACAGCAGGCACAGATGATCGACAAGACGGAAGGAGCCCTAGTCCTCGAAACCGAGGTGGTTCCGTACCAGCCCTGGGCTGCTTCTGCCTAGCCCACTAGGTGAGAAAGCAAGTTCTAGCTTGTTTAAGCCAATTTAAGTCTTTGTCATGGCAGCCGAACTTTATCCCAATGATTACACAAGCCTGAGTAAATTTCTGTTGAATGCATCATACATTCTTTCGCAGTGTAGACAAAAGAGAGCGAAGAGAGAAAGTGTAGGCCTGGTGGTTTAGGTACGCAGTAGTGAGCCCGGCCTCTCTTGGGAACACTCCTCTCCTATCTCAGCTGGGCGGTTCGGGACGAGGGTCCATCCCACCTTCTCCGACAGTGAGCACGCTACCCAGGTCTCCCTCACACGGGCCTGTTCAAAGCCTCGGGACAGGCCCGGCCAAACGTTCTAACAGTTTTATGTTCCTTTCCTTACAGGGGCCTCTCAGCGTCTATAACCCCCGGGGCTGCATAAAACCCAGCCGCACGCCTGGATCCACAGTGTCTGTGTCCCCGTTAGACTGAGCTTCTCGAGGACAGACAGCGAGTCTTGTTCCCAGTTGTGGCACTGCTGCCCGGCACGCTGCAGACGCCCAACACCTGTTCACTGTGCTGAGTTTAAGGAGACGGGGGAACACCTGCGTGGAACTTGGGAGGGCAGCGGGGAAATGGAAGAGAAAATACGGGAGCTCAGAAGCAGGCAAAGACACTATGTTTCGGGGAAAGTCTTTTGCAAGGTGAATGGGCTGGCTGCTACGCTCTCAGAGGGTTTCCGTGGCCATCAGGAGTCCCTGGGAACCCGGCGAAGTCTGGGACCCCGGAGAAGGGGGCAGGGGGTCTGGAGCCTGGGTGGGTGGGCGCTGGAGGGGACTCTGGGCTGGTCCTCAGGCCAGAGAGGGTGGTGGGGTGCGAGGGCAGGGGAAGCAGCGTGAGGGTGGGAACGGCGGCCGGCCTGGGCAGGGAGTCCTGGCACTGTGCTTTATTTACTGGCTGAAGGCCCTCCAAGGGCTCGCAGAGACAAGCTGAAAACAGGAAGTCCTAAATGAGCTGTGATTCAAGATGACCCACGCGCTGCCCAGGAGCTGCGATGGGGCCCACGCCCACCCTGTCTCCCTGTCCTCTTCCCTGCTGTCCCTCCCTCCCCTCGCTCCCCTCCTCTCCCTCC